AGTGAAAACAGTGTATACATACATCAACCCACATATTTTTAAATTAAGGTATTATTAAAATATAAAGTTGCTTTTGAATATAATAGTAAATTACTGCACTGTGAGTTTATCATCTGTCATAAATTGTCTCTCATACTTACCTATGCTCTATCTGCGCTTGCTAATTATTCTGTTATAGTTGCTGGATTATGATTTTTAAATATGCTATTTATAAATAGGATCTGGGAAAATATTTCTGCTAAAACCATTTTGGGGCATCTCTAACATTTGCTAGGTATCATTTTAGACCAATTAATTATCCAAAGATTTGTATTCATATGCATGTGTGTGTGTATTCACATTCATTTTATATATATATAGTTTTCCATTTAGCCAGGTAGGTTTTGAAATTTTGTCAGTAAAATGGTTAACCTAAATAACTTGATATTTTAGCATCATTGTGAATTAAATAATGAAAAATGTATTTTTTTCCCTACCACCTGGGATTCTTTTCTTTTTGTTCATCTAAAAAATCCAAAAGTTTGAAGCAAATATAATCAAATATCTAAAAGCAAGCAATAGGACTTACTATTATCTTTTGTCATATTGATTCAGATACGTTTTATTGCCACATCAGTGGTTTGTTAAGATTTTCAAATTCTAGCATGAAGAGGCAAATCAAATGCAGCGGGTGTTTCCAATTCCAAGGCCTTGGATGTCCAAGAGTTTAAAAACTTATAGTGGAACTTCTCATAGTGAGAACAATGTTTCAAAATAGTTTACAAGAGGCTGCATTGGCTAAGTACAGTTTCAAATGTCTTTGCTTTTGGTTAGATAAGCATCATTATATATGGGAATCAGAAAATTATTGATTGACATATTTCTTTTATTAATAAAAATGGGATTGGAGGAAATTATTCTTTAATTAGTGTAAGAATATTGGTACTTTAAAATACTGACTTCCATGTGGAAATCACTGCATTAGAGTCATCCTGTTTCACAGTAGAATTCTGAAGGCATAGGCAAATCATTGAGACTTTTGGATTTCGAAGTGTATGAGTAAATATAAAGATATATTTAACTTTAGTTACAGAATTTGCTTATGTCATAATTATTATCTCAATTTATAACATGCATTCTGAAGTAAATTTTAACATTGAGCTACTTTTTGAAAACTCATGTCTAGCTCTATTAAAAATAATGCATTTTATTGTGTCCAGAATACTGCTACATTTTACATATTGTATCTAGATAGGAATAGTCAATCCAATATAGTTCATATATACAAAGTTGTAGATACTCCAAATTCACTTTTTAGGAGGTAAGTTTTTATTAAGCTTGATATATTTTTAACAAGAGAATGTAAAGCCCTGGTCAGCCAGAAGATACCATAGTCCCCGTGACTGCTTAGCAGACACCAATAAAAAAAGAAACATGCTTAATCCTTAAAGTGCCAGCTTTTGGGAATCTTATTTATTTTATGTCATTTAATTATTTCTTCATTGCTGATTTGATGAAAATCAAGCCGAATTACATTTCTTCCAGGGACATGGATATGTATTCTCTTTTTAAAAAAATATAAAAGTAAGTGTAAAATGTGCTTGGACTTGGATTATATCTTTCTTCTATTCAAAGAAATGTGCTGGCTTTTTAAGGTAATTTAGGAGGGAAACAGAAGGCATTCACTTAAGCTTGAAGGTCATTTCATATCTGGCTCATATAGGAATGAATTCTCTGGAACACGATGCTTTACAGCAGAACCGGAAAGAGAAAGGGGGGCTGCAGACTGCTCCCCAGGCCTCCTGGGAGCAAGACTGCTGTTCGTCAGTGTTTGCACCTGCATGAGCAGTGAAGGCTGCCTTGAACAATGCCCATCAACTCAATTCTATTCTTTACCTCCCGCCCCCTTCTCTTCCTGGGGAATCTGGCTTTCCTGTCACTCAGGATAACGATTTCCTGCAAGCATCACTGAGATCCAGAAAGTCACTGTAATCTCATCAAGAGTGTGATTCCCCAGCTGGGACTCTTGAATTTATATATCCTAAAGGTAGCTAGCTGGTCGGGGTGCATAATCCCCCACATTGGTCCCTAGAGCTCCCACCCATTTAAAATGGAAGCCCTCTGATAAAGACGACCTCATCCGCTGACAAAATTAGAGAAGATATATCCCCAAATTAGTTCAATCTGAAACCTGTAATTTAACCCAAGATGTTGCCTGATGTTAATCTAATATATTACAGTGTTGCTTCACCCATCCTGAAAAGAACTTAGTCCAGGCCTAACATAAATTTCCAATGAGCCCAATAAAATTTGGGCAGGAGATTGGCTCTGCATCCTGTGTTTTGTGGCCTATGGGACACTAAGGAGCTTTGTTACTTTTTATTAGTAAAACTGTTAGAGAAATATCACTTCAAGTTTCTGGTGAATGCCTTGAAAATTTGTTCTAAATGGTGCCCACCCAATCATTTTTTAGGCTTTATGACCTCAATCAAAGATATTAATATAAGAGAGAAATATTTTTTAAGAGTTGTTTCCCTGCTTACCTTCTTCCTTTCCCTGGGGCAGTGGGTTGTCCATATCCTTATGTAGAGATATATGCTGGTTTCAACGTATGCCCAGTAATATGCCCACATCACAGAGCTGTTTTGTGACAGATCTTGTTAATATAGAAAACCAGCTCTCTGCTTCTCTCATTGCATTATCTAATTTTTGTGCCAACAAGCATTGAGAAGTGCTTATCTTTTTTCTCACAACATTGACCTTTCAGCCCAAATGGCATTTCATAAAGCTGTCTTTTTAAAAATATTATAAATAACAGTGAGTAGTGGAAAGGGTCACAGGCAGAGCAAAGAGCTGGAAAGAAAGTTTAAAATATCTAAGACATAAGGAGTTCATCTCATTAAAAAATGTATTCCATGTATTTTTTGTTTATATTCATAAACATATGTTTATCAAGATACAAAATTATATAAGCATATATTTACAATCTTGTTTCCAGTTGGCATCTGAGAGTAAATTTGGCATCTCTATGTCATATACTATACATGTAAATGTGAATATATGAGAATATAAATGCACATGTTTTATTTTTCATATGTGAATCTGTAATTGCATGGATATGCTTGGATCTAACTTGTTAAAAATGACTACATTTATATAAGTATGCATACATAAATAAAATTTATTCTTAGTTGGCATCAGGCAGCAAGTTAGCATCCGTTACAAACTAAGTTTGCATTTACTGTGTGTGTGTGTGTGTGTGTGTGTGAAGCATAAATATTAGAGTGAATATATTGTTTCTTATTCATAGTTCCTTTAATAATGATTAAGTGCATGTAGGAGCATTTATCATTATTACATTTATCATTCAAAAGTTAAGCGTAGAAAGCAGTAAACAGGTTTTTTTCTCAAAAACCAAGCAACGAATAGGGCTCCAGGTACGCACAGTGACCTGAAGAGAAGGAAACAGATGAAACCATAGGAGTGGGGAGTAAAAGATTAGTAAAATGAGTAGCATTTTTGTGGGAGCAACGACCTTTTAGTTTGTGCTTGCAGAAAATACTTCACAAGTTAAATATTTTGGTTTATATATATATATACCTATATGCAAATTGAGATTAGATACTATTAGTTTGTTCTTACCACATTCATGTTGAACTTTATTGTGTTGGCTCTGAGGACAGTTTATAAAAAAATATTTTAAGTACAGGTAGTGAAAACAGTTTTACTTTCCAAAATGATTATTTTACATATTTAAATTTCAGTTAACATCTTGATCAATTATTAATTTTACTTTTAGATAACATTACTACAGGACTGTATCAATCGAATAAGGCATGTGTGAGAAAGTAAATAAAAGCTAACCAGTTATCAAAAAGTATTTGTGGTAGGAATTTTTATGTATTTTCTGAAATACGAAATTCAAATATTATTAACACTGTATGTTAACACTCTATAAGGTGTGTGTGCGTGTGTGTGTGTGTGTGTGTGTACATGTTCTTCTATACTAACTCAATATTTTTGTAACAGTCAACATACAATTAATTTACTTATTTGTCCTCAGCAGCCATCTTATAGTCTACACAGGCTGGTTGGACTAGTTTAACAAGGAATAAAATTAACTCTCATTTGCCCTTATGAGAAAATTTACTCTTAGCTTGTTTCTTATGTACCTTCAATATGTACCTATGGGATTCTCTTTTATAAAAAAGAGTATGGCATGATGGATTGCTATAATGTTAATATATAGAGGAAAATTCAACAGTTTAACTACGATTGAATAAAAAAAACCATTGTAACTATTAGCTTTTTGTTGAAACAGTTGCTCAAACTTTTGGTGTTAGTTTATTATTCCTTTGGAATATGGTAGTATTTTTATGGTACAAAAGGGTAGTTATGGTCCATTGGCAATCATTGTTAGTATAAGTTTGTTTCATATAGATGATATTAATTTATTTAATATGCAGACTTACTTTAAAATAGTGATATATTTTGTCAGTCTAGTTCTGATTAGATTATCTGTAGGAATATTTAGCATTAATAGTTGTTAAGTGATAGAAGTAATATTTATGTAATATTTATTGTGGTCTTGTCATAAAAGAAGTTCTCCAGAACAAAAAAGAAATTACTTCACTGAGTTCTAAACATTGGTCTTACAGAGGGTGCATGTGTATGTAGCAGGTACAGATTTTAAGGACACTTGCTAGCTGGTCCTCCTATTATTAATGGCATGAACCATCCCATTCATTCTAATAGCTATCCCTGTTCTACACTGTGTTTCCTCTATTTTTAGACCAATGAGTTTTAATCATTATATTTAGTAAGTTAGCATTAAATTCAATATTCTAATTTTTGTAGTGTTCTAAGATTGACCATCTATTTTTTATTAAATGTTGAAATATACAAGTCATTATGTTGTACCTTACTGACTAAAGCTATTGCTGAAGAATAAAGGAGAAAATTCTAATTTTATATTGGCATAGAAAGTAAGCTTAACTTGTCTTCTTGCTCTTTTTTTATAGAGAACACCTGTTCCCAGCGCCGAAGCATTCCGATGGTTCTTTTAAAGCAGTAGTCTATCTTATTTTCAAGGCATTTGGAAGTGAAGGGCAAACTAATGTCTTGTTTTAAGGAACTGCTTAGTCCACCACTGAAGAAAATATCCAGATATTATTTTCATTTTATGTATAGGGGTTTCTTCAAAAAAAAAAAAGAGGAAAAGAAAAGAAAAAAAAAGACATATCAAAATAATCTGGGAGCTCGGGGAATTGGCCAGTCTATTTACTTTGGATACACTGATTCTTTGATGTAATTTAGCTATACTAGTGAAGTTGTTGTCTATTTTGAAAGTGGCTGTAAAAAATAAGTTTGGGTAAACCCCTGCTGTAAAATCATGTATCTTTGCAAAGTACATATCTATACTTCATTTTCAAATATATGTGTTTCAGTACTGTAAACTGTACAGATAGCAGCTTGTATTTTGTGTGTCTAGACACAAGGAGACAATCACGTCTGAGCATCTATGGAGATTAACAGTTTGTACACAACAGTATGGTTCTGCGAGTTAAATCGGGAGCAATAAATTTTAGCTTTAAATATTTTTTGCCAGTTGTTTCTAGAAGCAGCAACAGCGGTGGCATGTTTTGCCATGCATCTTTCAGTAGAGACTCGATGCCAAGTTTCACAAGAAGAAAAGATTATGATGCATCCGGCAATTACCTGCAGTTGTATTGTTATAGGAGGGAAGATGTGATGAAAGTTTCAATTAATCTTTTGAGCACTATATTAGAGTAGTGGTTATGCACTTGCATTGCTTACAAACGAGCTGTACAGAAGGGTATACCTCCCAAATACTTAGTGTAGTTGACTTGTCTTGGGTTGCACTGTAAGGCGGAGTACTCTGAGTAGTTGGAACATGCAGAATCAGTTGTATAAATTTTTTTAAAACAGTGTTTTCTAGGATACAGAATAAAGTATCATATCGTAGGGGGAGAAATCCATGACTGAGTTTTTTACTAGCGCAGCAGGGGCTGTATTTTTTGTTTGTTTATTTTTTGCCTTATTTTTATTTTTTTTTTGGTAGGAAAAATAAACACTTAATAAAATGTATCCACATGTTTTAACTCCATGTATGATATTAAATGGGTAGTTTTGTTTTACATTTTGAACATATCAAAGCTTCTGCCTTGAGACATGGCTAGGTATATTTTTAAGTAAAAAAGAATTAAACACATTCATAAAAGTGAGGTTTTTTTAATCTTTTGTTATCTTCCTTTCTCATAGCCTCCTATTTGGACCAGTGGCCTTCCCCTAGGCCCTCAGTGGAATGTTCCATTGCTCCCATTCCCATTCTTGTCATCAAGGATGCTGTGGTTCCAGAGAATTCCATAAATGTAAACAACCCCTAAACACAAAGGAGTATGTTTCATAGGACCCGGGCTACCTTTTCACGTAGAATTTGGTTTGCTTATGGCAGTTGGGGCTCCTAAGGCTGTCCCAATAGGACAATTATGATTTGTGATGACATAATACCTAAGAAGTTCCTTCCTTCCTTCCTTCCTTCCTTCCTTCCTTCCTTCCTTCCTTCCTTCCTTCCTTCCTTCCTTCCTTCCTCCTCCTCCCTCCCTCCCTCCCTCCCTCCCTCCCTCCCTCCCTCTTTCTTTCTTTCTTTCTTTCTTTCTTTCTTTCTTTCTTTCTTTCTTTCTTTCTTTCTTTCTTTCTCTTTCTTTCTTCTTTCTTTTGTCAGAGACTGTTCAACTTCAGCAATAAAATAGAGTTTAGCAAAAACACATAGAGAATCAAAGTTGCCATGTTACTGTCATTTTTTGTTTTTTTATCCACTTATTTCTGCCTACACATCCATTAGCCTTTTGAAAAATGTTAGCAAAATGTATCATGTGAAGAAAAATAACTTGGGAAGAGAAAGGGTGATGCAAAAGACTGCAAAACTTTAGAAGGCCTAGCAGATGAATAATTTTAAAAGGCTAGTTCTAGTTTTGAATTGGAAGTAATAGAAGAGAGGAGATTTTAAAAAAAACATGGAAGGAGCATTCACCATAAGAATTCTGGAGGGAGGGATGGATAAGGTGCTGACAAATGCCAATGTTAAAGTGTGCTTTAACTTGCCTGGAATATGAATGCAAGGTCCACAATTATGGTCCAAAAGCCTTTTAGAGGAAATTTTATTATCTGTTGCACCTATCCATGTTTAGAGAACAGAATTAAATAATCACAAACTAAAACATGCTGTATATTAGTTTTGAGATCACTTTCCACTTGCTATATATTCCTTTGAGGATTTCTAGATAGTATTTCTATTCCAGCTGTGGGAAAAGAGAGCTATATGAATTATTTCTAGTTCTTTTTTATTTTACTTATTTTTAAAATCAATTTGATAATTTTTACAAGTAAGTGAAAACTAACTTTCACACTTGAATGGGAAGCTTGCCTTGCTTTTTGGAAAACGATGGTTGTTCTTACAGCAGTGAAGCAAACTTCTTTCCCTTCAGACTGCATTAGGCATACAGTAACATATAAAGATCTCATAGCAATGTACCAAGAGTCTAAAATACATGCTAGTGTTGCATGTCTTGATGTGTTTTTGTTTGTTCGTTTTCTTAAAGAACTTATGAATCTGTATATTGTAAAATGTGGTGTTTTACATGTCAATTCAACTTTTTAATGAAAGAAAATCTGTTGATTATTAAAATGGAAATGTATAGCTTTTCTTTAATTCTCTTATATGTTCTTATTCTTGACATTGTTCTTTTACACTTACCCATTTCTTTGGTTTTGCTAAAACTCTATTTATATAATGTAGAGTGCATATAAAGTTCTTGTTGATGATGTTGAAGAAGGATACTACTCTTCTGGCCTCACTCTAATTCCTTTCTCTAAGTCTATGTACCAAGAGCTGTAAAGCATATCATTATAACCCTAAGGGAATGATTTAAAGGTTTACATTTTCATGATTTTTAAAATACCAATGAAAGGCAAAATTTTAAAATTTTAAAATTCCTCACTGTATGTTTTATATTCAGCACCAAGAAAATTTAAAATATAAAAATGGAATATAGATCGGGTGGACTATCAATACACCTTAAAAATTTCCTATCAGCTAAGTCAAATAAAATAGTTTGTAAGAGCCGTCTACATACACAGAAGTCTTGCTTTGTCTCGGTGTAGATGTGGAAATGCTATATTCTGTTAGCATTTTTGGGGGAGCATGGAAAATCTCTGGGTGTCAATTTCCTTGTCATCTGTCACTTAGCACCCTAACATCACAAGAACATCATAATGTAAACCTTCTTTTCCAGGCCTTCAGGCTAAAGTGGCTTTGTGATGAATTCTATCTGTGTGTGTACAAGGGGAGGCATATGTACCAAGTAGAAATGTACCAATGCTTGGGAGAAGAAAAAATGTCTTCCTCCATTGTAAGAGTGTATAAAGACATCTCCTGGTTGCTTAATTCCAAATACACAACTTCCTTCTTCTAAACATTTATAAGGAGCAAGAGATGGTGGGCTGACTAGGAATTAATATTAACTAATCACTAAAAGAAAAGGATATCCCCTTCCTTTGATTCAGAACCCCTGACATGTAAATTGTACAATTAATCCTAAAGCATAGAAAGTGTTTAAGCTGATAGTATCTGTAATCAAATAATGAAAAAAGGAAAGCCGTTAAATGAACACACCATTTAGGGTCAAATATGTTCAGCAAAAACCGTAGTGGGTCTTTGATCACAGGGATATCAAACAGTTGGTTTTCATGTAATAGCTAAATGTTTCAGATTTTGTTTTTATTAAATTTGGCAGTTTCACACTGAGATCTGTATTCCTGGTGAATGGAAGACAGCTACTATGTTAGAAGGGGTTCAATTTTCACAATCGCAAGGAAGTCAGAGAAGTTTCAGGAATGGACCACAAAATGTACTCATTTCACAGTGCTCTCCTATTCTGAACTGTGCAGTTATCTATTAAATTTTCTAACAGATATTTGTGTAAGGTGTATGTATGCTTGTGCAATTATAAAAAAAAAAAGCAGTTTTGGAAAACAGTGTATTTATTAAAGAAAATTACTTATAGGGCATGTACAAAACTGTAAAAAAAAAACTTTAAAAAACACATTCAATTTGCCCAGTAAAGTTGTTTTTTGTGAAATTTATGTGTTGTTGAATAAAGGACTTTAGTATTCAAAGTATCTCTATTTTTCCATGAACAAATTTTTATTTGTGGGATTTTTCAGTAATGAGCATATGACCCTGAAAAATCTAATTTTGTTTATGATATAAAAGCTTATAATTCTACGTTTGCCCTTATGTTAGCAAAATGAATACTGTATATAAATCTTTCATAAACTATACCAGTTTGTTCATTCTGTTTTTCCTCATATATTTTGCCTTTCTCATACACTTAAAGAAGGGGAAAAAAGAAGAACATGATTATTTTCACATGTCCAAAGGATATATTTTTGTTGAAAGCTTTAATAGGCCATTGAAGTAAAAAATAAATATATCCAAACTTTTTTCCCTTCCTCTCCATCATATGCCAGGAGAAAGCAACCCATGAATTTCTTGTGAATGAAAAATCCTGTTCATAGTACCTGGAAGCAGAAATGTGCAACACCGGAATTCTTCAGCCACTCCCAGCACTTCTCTGAGATTACATTGCTATTGCTAGCTTTTTTACTATGGAATATTGTGTCCACCAACGCTGCTTATTTGGTGGTGAATGTGCTTAGCCCTTATTTCACTGCTTCTCAGAACAAAGATCTTTTCTTTTTCTTCAATTTCTCCTCTAACCAGAAGAAATGTAGGATTCCTTTTTATATCTTGGAAATCTTTAATATTGTTGCAAACATGGGACTTCAAACAATTCAGTTTATGTCCACAGAAAATACCATATTAGAAGATTTTTGTAATTTTATGAATTTCAAGATGTGTCCTATTAGTATAATATCACAAGTATAAAATATCTTGGCCATGGCCATAGAGTTGGATTACATAGGTTACATAGGGTGATAAAGAAGAATTAGGTAACTTGAATTATGAAAGACCCTGGATTCTCAGCATTTTTTCAGGTGAGTCACTATGCTTTTTATTATATTTTGGTGTAAACAACAATACTGCAATAATATGAAACTGGATTTTCATACATAATGATTTCTTACCTGAAAATTTCAAGGATATAAATAGTTGGAGGCTCATATGTAATTCTTCAGAATACATTAAATTAACCAAAAAGGGAAAGGGCAGTTCTATAACTTATTTAGACATTGAGCCAGATAATTTTGTATGGTTTTCTGCAGCGTCATATATTTTGTCAAGGTGTTCATTGGTTGAAGCTGGTTTTGTTTGCATGTTTTATGCAGAAGCTATTCTCCATCTCGTTTCCACTCTTTGTCTTTTCTAATACAGAGAAAATGTGATTTTAGGTAAACATAATGCACACAAATTTAAGATTTTAATTGTTTACATTAAAAATGTTGCCGAAACCGGTTTGGCTCAGTGGATAGAGCGTCGGCCTGCGGACTGAGGGGTCCCGGGTTCGATTCCGGTCAAGGGCATGTACCTGGGTTGCGGGCACTTCCCTAGTGGGGGATGTGCAGGAGGCAGCTGGTCGATGTTTCTCTCTCATCGATGTTTCTAACTCTCTATCTCTCTCCCTTCCTCTCTGTAAAAAATCAATAAAATATATTTAAAAATAAATAAATAAAAAAAAATAAAAAATAAAAAAGTAGCATAACAATATGGGAGATTTTTGCTTATTTGGAAATTTAGTTTCTAATCCTTTATTCTAATATCTTGGCTTGAGATCTATCTTTGTGTCCTTTGCAACTCAGATTTTTTGGCCAATATTTAAATCAATATTTCTTATTTTCAGTGTATTTATATAAAATGAAATATCAACCAAATTATTTTTTAGTCTAAGTCTGCGCTTTGTTTACAACATGTTATTTATGACAAAAATCATTTTGGTTAGCGGTGGTGTCATTTCACAAATTGGAAGCAGAGATCTCTTTTTCAAAATAGCATTTTTAAAAGCTGCTTTTATCATATATAAACTACATGCAAAGCATTTAAATATTTTGCTTTATTGATTAAGGTATTACATATGTGTTCTTATTGCCCCATTGCCCCCCGCCCCCCACTCATGTCCTCATCCCCTAACCAATGGACACATACAAAGCATTTCTAACAAAAGACTGAATTACATAACTTCTTTAATAATAAGATGCTAGAAGACTACTCGGTTTGAATTATGATCTGATTATTATTTTTCTGAAAAAATATCTTCTAATTAAAATTATATGGCTTCAGAAAAACTGAAGGGGTGTTAAAAATAATATTTAAATGGTACTATTTAATCTTTGAATTATCATAAAGCATATGGAGCTGGAAATTCTTATTCATTGTATTGTTCAGGAACTTTTCTCACCATTTCATAAATTACCTTGTAAATTTACTTATAACTTTATTTATAAATATAATTTTATCTGTGAATATTGAATTACTATGTGTGGGGTAGAGATAGTTCAATCTGTGTACTTGCATGCTTTTTCCTAGTCAACAGAGTTGAAGTCATGTCCCACAATAGCAA